AATAAAAGAAAATACCCTATGAATACAAATGGCTCTGCAAAAGGTAATGCAAATGAGTAGTGCATAAAAGATAATTTACTCTATTGGCTATAGGAATGTTTTGTGCTCAGATGACCTTTTCAATTAATAACATCACTATTTTGAGGAATATTAAGAATAGATAGCTACTCAGGGAACTAAATTCATAGCTAAGTAAAATGAAGAGATTATAAAATGATGAAAACTGCTCAGGTGACGTGTAGTATTTTTGACAATATTGCACAAAGTGTTACATGGGAAATTACCTGTAAATAGGATCTATTTGCGATATGAAACGCTGTTTGTCATATGTTATCGCAGGCTGCGATATTTAATATGAGATAGTACTTGATGTCTTAAGCGAATTCGTCATATATTGCAAAAAAGCCTGCGCATCTGGGACACAGAAATTAATAAAGTTTCATAGCAAAATGAACCCACATATCCAATTGCCTGCAAGAAAGTTAATAATCAATGCTAGAAATACGACATATTCTATATATTACCAGTATTCAGATTCCAGGGTGACTAAGTCCTTAGTAAAGGATGAAAACTACTAGTATCAAAACTAAGTAACTTGGTAGATTGCAATGACAAGCACATGCTTGTTTAATCAACAATTCCACAATAAACATGTGAGTTGGGAAAGGCCTGGATCGCTCCGAATATTGCGACTACTCCGTGACTCATTGGCACCCGTGGCTTTGTAGTGGAGGCATAATGTTGCCACGACACTCAGCTCCGGTATCAAATCCTGCTGAGGGTGCTGATGAGACCTAGGTGAGGTAAAAACTGCAGTCCCCTCAGAATAAGATAGGCTTACTCATCTAACTATGGAAGAAACCCTTAAGTTACCTTAATCGCTCTAAAATGACTAAGATATTAATAAAAAAGTGCTGATAGTATAAAAAAACATAAGAAATCAAATTTGCAAGTTTTTCAGGACATCATTCTAAAATAATATAGAACGGGCATTCCATGAGTTAAATTGAATAAACATCATATAGATTTCAGCAATCAGCCTCCTTGTCCTGCTATAACAATAACTACATTCAACGAATGTGAGAAAAACCAAAGAAAAATCTTTGATGTTTACCTTAGGAAGGCTCATGACAAAATCATGTATATTGGCCTGCATTGAAGCTTCGATGATTTCCTCCATGGAGACTTTGCGTGAATTATCTCCATAAGCAATGTTGTCCGCTAGGCTGATGTCAAATAATTCGGGCTCCTGTGCAACGATGCCAATCTGTTGGCGCAGCCATCTCGGTGAAAAGTATTTAATGTTAATGCCATCAAGAAATACACCACTCTCAGGCTGGTTGATTGTTTGGTCGCCAGGCGTTAACTCATTCGACGGATTAGCCGTGTCATACAAACGCTGCACAAGATAGAGCAAAGTAGTCTTGCCACATCCAGACTCACCTACAAGTGCAACAGTCCGTCCTGAATGTACAGTATATGAAAAACCCTGAACAAAAGAGTATTAGGTGCATAGTGTTAGGAAGTAGGTTTAAATTCTAAAATACGCATAGTTGCTGGGTAATTGTTAATGTACGTAATTAAAATTTGAAGGAAAATCGTGTGTAATCAACTGAAAGAAAAATTATACAAAAGTTTTGAGTTGGTTCAAGTATGTATTATACCAAATCTTGGTTATTAATGCGAATTGATCCACTAGGTTCCGTGGTTGAAAAGACTGGCAAATCTTTGCCAAAGATATCTTAGGTCCTCTCGTTGAATTGAAATACGATGCTTGAATGAGTCTCAGAATGTACCATAAGTCCATCATGGTTTAGAGCTGACTATTACTTCGACCACATTCTAACAAAATACGAATTAGGGTAAGTTATCCATAGTTCGAGAAATGATACTCGCCGAGCCATTTAGAAGGCTTGAATGCATAGTAGGTCACCATCACTAATGCAAAAATGAATCTGCCACATTGAGACAAAATCTTTGTGGAAACATAAAGTGAGCATCCGTTATGGCAAAGGTACATAGTAGGCCGATTGAAGTTTTAAGATATCTGAAATGGCCCAG